GGGGGGGGGGGGGGGGGGGGGGGGGGGGGGGGGGGGGGGGGGGGGGGGGGGGGGGGGGGGGGGGGGGGGGGGTAGCACTTACCGGGAGCAGACACCGTGCAGGGCGTCCCGGCGAGCTGACACCGAGAAAAAGGGCGAGCGGAACCGCGCTCAGCCGCGCACATGCAGAGTCCCTGCGGGCGGAGCCGCCGCGCGGGCCGGGGGCGCGGGGGCGGCGCGGGGCCCTCCGCGAGCGCGGAGCGGCGGCGGAGCCTCGCGCCCTCCCGCCGGCTGGTGCTGCCTGGCGCTGGCGGTGCCGCGCTCCCTCCCCCGGCGTGCGGGTCCGGCCGTGTGCGGAGTGTGCCGCCTGTGTGTATGTGTTTTGTTGGGAATGCAAAAAAAAAAAGAAGACGGGGGGGGGGAAGAAAACCCCGCCGCTGCACACACCGGCTGCTTTGGCGAGAGGGGAGTACGGAGAGAGCCCTCCCTCACATGATCGCAGAGTGGCCTGCACAGAAGTGCTAATAACGCGGGGGGGTGTGGGGGGGGAAGCAGCGGAGGGGGAATGGCAACAAAAAAAAGTGAGGCGGGATGCACAGGGCCGTGCCCCGCTCCGCCCGCGCCTCCCCCGGCCGGTCCCCGGCGGAGCAGGAGCTTGGGTCGCGGCGGACGGCAGCTCCACCTGCTATGTAAACAAACCGTCGGGGAAGTTGTTTGCTGGCGGCGGCTGCCCCTTCCCGCCCCCTATCCCCTCCTGCCGCCCCGCTCCGCCGGCTCCGTTAGACACAACGAGTTTAGCAGACGGGTGGAAAACAAAGCCGTGTGTTGTGCTGGCAGTGCCGGCCGGCTGCAGCTTGCTGGCAGCCCCCGAGGTGCCGCGGCCCCGCCAAGGCAGCCCGGGGGACCCACGTGGGAGGGGTCGGCGGAGCAGGCCTGGCCGCCAGCATCTGCTTTGCCGAGGAAGCACGCGTGGGCCCCGAAACTTTTCTTCTCCCCGCCCCCAGGATTCGGAGCAAGGTGCAAGACCCCCTCCGGCACCCCGCAGCGGGGATCGGCCGCTCTCCGCTTGTCTGGGGTGGCGCGGTGGGGAGCGTGCGCGGCCGGCCAGCCCGGGGACCCCCGCTCCCCTGGGGAAAAACACTTTTAAGTGATTCCCGAGTGGGGTACCGGGGAGGGGGCGGGGAGGGAAGTGTTTAGACATGGGGAAAACTAGTCGTGTCCTCCCTCGTCCCCACCGCGGTTCCTGGTCATTCGGCGCCCAGAGTGTGCTTGGGTGGAAATACTCGCGTGAGTGCGGGAGAAACCGGACTGCGCTGGCCGAAGGGAACGTGGGGTTTGATGTTTCGGAGCCCACCTAATCATCGTGCGGCAGCCCCGGCCCCACGCTCTCCGCGCGGTGCTGCGTTAGCAGGGCTCTCTGTACGCGCCGAGGGCCAGGATCACAAGTGACTGTCCCTCAGAATTAACAGTCACCGCATTTACTAATACAATTAAAAATCCCACAAACTTTGCCGCTCGCTGTTACAGGCAAGTGGCAGGCTGCCCGCCGCCACCGCGCCCCGCGCCACTCGCTGCCGGGGCCGCCGGCCAGCCCCGGCGAGGGCACTGCCGGCCGCTCGGCCCCGGGAGCGAGGGGGGAGCCGCTACCGCGGGGCGGAGCCGTCGCAACTCTGGCAACTCGGCAGGGGCCCCCGCGGCGGCCCCCGGCCCAGGCCGCCCCCCGCCCCGCCGCGCACCCTTCCGCCCGCCCGCGGCGGCGGGGCCGGGGGCCGGGGCGGCGGCGGGGCCGTGCGGGGCGCGGCGGGCCGGCGGGCAGCCAATGGGGCGCGGCCGGGTTCGCGAGGTGAAAGTTCAGCGCCGGGGCAGAGGCTCGCGGGGCCGCGGCGCTGCCGATGGGTGGCCGTAAAATATATTTATTTGCTACCCGCGGCTCTTTTGTCTCTTTGCCCCTCGCCCCCCCCCTCCTTGCCCCGTCGCTGCACGGGTTACCGGGGCGCTTCCCGCTGCCGCGGAGAGCCGCGACCGCAACGGTTGCGGGGGACACTCGCCGCGCACCTCGCGGAGACGCAGCGGCGCGGGACAGAGTCCCCGCGGGCAGCCGCCTGACACGGCCCCGCGCCCCGCGGGACAGCGGGGGGGGTGGGGAACCGCGCCCGATTCGCCGCCCCGCGCCCCGTCGGCCCGCAAACGAAATCGGGCCCCGCAGGGTACGGCCGCCGACGGGCTCCGCGGGCAGGGGCGTGGGGCGCCGCGGGGGCGCAGGCTGCGCGGCTCGGGGACCGCCGCCCCTCCTCCCCGCGGGCGGGAGGCGCGCCCCGGGAGAGAGGCGGCTCTCCCTCTGGAACCGTCCGCGGCGGCGGCCAAATGAGGGTGCCGGCGGGAGGCGCCGTGCAGCGCACTTCTTTGGGGGTAGCCCGCGGCAGCGAACCGGCGGGGCGGCCCGGCTCGGCCGCGGACACCGCCAACTTCGTTGGGCACCGGGCCGCGGCATCCCCGGCCAGCGGGACGGGAGCGGCGGCACACGGCGACCCGCGGGTCTGTCCCTGCCCGGCCCTGCCCTGCCCTGTCTTGCCCCGCCACGGGCCGCCGCCGTCGGGCCGGGCGCCCTCCGCTACCGCTAATGTTCGCAGCACTCCCAGCCCCGTCCCCCTGCCTGGGCTGCGCTTTGTTCCACGGAGCTGAATCCCCGTCCCGTTCGGCGGCCCTGCAGGCAGCCCCCTCTCTCTGGAGGGCACAACACGCAGGTAACAACACGGTGCTTGGCTTCTATTACTCGGCGGTGCTCGGGTCTGCGCGGCTCGGCGGTCTCACGCAAAATTAAAGCTAAACAAACACATAGTTTCCCCACTTTTTTTTTTTTTTTTTTTTTTTTTACAACGACGATTACGGTATAAAATATAACTCGGTTTTCTAATGAAAAAGGCTGGTGCGTTTTATTTGTTCCTGTTTACGGTTCGAGACTTCATCTGCACAATTGTATTTCTCGCTTGAAATAAACCGCTTTGAAACTATCTTCCTTTAATTAGTTTAATGTATTTTCTCTGTGCAGCTGGCAGTATTAGGTGTCTATCAGATTGCCATTTTCCATTAGAGTTGTTTAGAAAGCGAACAAGAACACAAACAGACACCTCTTCGAAAGAGGTTCGTTCCCTTTCCTCCCCGTGTACCGCTCCGAGACACTACGGAAAGAGCAGAAAATGCTCGTTTTAACCGAAGTCAAACCGAGGAGAATCTATATTACAACATCAAAGAAAGGGAGACGCTACAAAATCGGTGGAGTTACACCACCATCTGTCGTTAAGCTTCGGGACTACAAAAGTTCAGACGTATAGTAAATCGTAATGAGAGCTGGCAACTTTGTTTTTTCTTTTTCGCCTCTGACTCTTGCCGCCTTGGCAGAGTGGGTTTCCCGGTGTGGCTGAAGACTCCCGAGTGACGGGCAGCAGTTTGCTGTGGACACGCATCTGTCCACTGCCACTTGCGTCACTGCCAGGCCAAAGGATTTGTTCTGGCACCTGATGGCCCCAAGCAGTTGCTCATCAAAACACATAGGCACCCACACTTCATAGCACTTCTTGGCCTCGGGAGATTGCGTTCATAGAAAGACAGTCTAAATTTAAAGAAAATAAATAACATTTATAATAATAAAACAACAAAACAAAATCACACCTAAAAACCACAAACAAAAAACCAAAACAAACAGGAAAAAACTGAACAGATCTCTCATATTGCAGCTCTAGGATTCAATTTAGCCCATTTTGTATACCTATTCTGCGATGCTGCATTTTGAAAAGGAATATATAGAAAACACACCTTGGAATAATATCTGTGAAGAAGCTCCTCTGATTACTCTTATAGCTTGGAGAGCTGTAAGCAAATCCTTAGCAGAAGCATAAAATTATTTTATATTACCCAGGGTAAATATGGCAACTTCTATGTCCTTGTAAAAGTTTCACATCAGCCTTTAACTCTTTCTAAATTCTTCAGTTAAAGAGGTTGCAAATGCCCATTTGCTATAGTTACTGAAGAAACAAGGAGGAGTGTTTTCTTTGGGATTTTCTGAATACTGGTGTTCCCTACATTTCAGAGGCCAATGGCTACTCATGCAAGTAAGGATCGTCACAGAACTCTACCATGAAAACCATCAAGTTTATCGTTATTTTATAACAGTTCCTATTTCAAGACAGGTGTGTTTTAGTGAATATTGATCCAAAGGTGTTGCTGGATGGAATGCTTATCCTTAAAGGTTAACTTTCAAGTTGTTTCTCTTTCACTGTAGAAATTTGGGGAACTTTGTCTTCAGCCTGGCAATTCACATATGCTCATAGTCCTTACATAGTCCTGTAATTAGCACTAAGCATCTCCCATTACTATTTGAGGTGAAGATGGTGGTTAAACACACTCCTATAAATTCTGCTTCCCAATCTGCTTCCCACTCCCAGAAAAACTCCTTTTTCTATATCCTACTGTTGAAATTCAAAAGGAAATTTTTACTTTTAGTTTGTCAACGTGTCAAAAAAGAGAAACTCATTTCCTCTGAAACTCTATGTCCACTTTCCAGGCTATCTCATAAAATGCGGAATTACGCTGCAGGCAATAAACACTTTCAGTATTCCTTTGTCTACCATGTTGTTTTCATGTTACTCAAAAAAAAATTACATTTTCTATCTTCTCCATGATGAGCTAAGTTCTTATAAACAACTAAGCTCTTTGAGTCAATATTAAAAGTAAGGTTTGTGGATTGGTGAAACAGGTGTTTAACATTCATCTGACAAACAATTACCGATTTAGGAACATATGGTAAAAACCTTGTGTACAAAAATTTGCTGATGATTTCAGTGTTTGCACTGCCTACAGTTTTATATATCCATAATATAGTATAATTTTATGTTTAAGTTATTCAATAGACATTATAGCAGCAACCAAACTTTAAAAAAATCAAATAATTGAGAAGTGCTGGGAAAAAGAAAAACAAAGCATGGCTCTCAAAATTATCTTGCTTGACTTCATACAAATGCTGCCCTGTACAGCACTGACCAAACCAAAGGGATTACACTGTGTCAGTCTCATTTCTTCGATGGGGGAGTTGGATACGGGGGAGATTTGCACAACAAAAAGTTGTGCAAATCTTCAAACTCAAATTCTGTATTGGAAAAACATGTCAGAATTTTTGACATTATGTTTGGCATCTATATATGAAGATGACCTGTACATCCTTCTGGAATCTTTTCCTGGTTTGTGGCCAGGTTTGGATAAATAGGCCATGCTGACTTTTCAGGTCCTGCTCCCCCACCATTTAGCCAAAGGTGCGGAAAGTTTTAAGATTGCTAAACCTTTTGGTGAGTTGCCAAAGTATAACCCAGGGAGCAGTATCACAAACATACATAAACAAGTAGCTGTGAGTCTCATGAACAGCTCATAACTTCTGAAAAGTTTGACATCTGACCTCTAAGATGGTACTAAAATTTAGGCATGTAAATCTAAGATTGTAATCTTTCAAAACCTTGTTTAGCTTCCAGGGAGTTTACATTGATAAGGTGCTAATAAATTTGCTTAGGCTTCTAAGGTACCACTTCTGAAAATACTTAAATTAATAACTGTCACATTCAGGCCAAAGAGCTTGGTGAGTTTCCTCAACTTAACCAACCTCCTAAGACTAGGCATCTTCTGTGCAGCTGAGCATTAAATTGTAATTAGGTCAAATGTCCAGTCAGTCCTTAGAGCAGCCAGTGACCCAAGGCTCCCATTTCCTTTGTAAGTGTCCCACCTGCTGGGCTGTGCACCCACACTTCTTCTGTTGCTCCAGCTGGTCTTCAACCCCTGTTCTGCAAAGGGGCACTACAGCCCTACTCCAGACCAACCCAAATCAAGTGCTTAGGTCATGGTCCCAGGAGGTGACTGATGGCCTAGGCCCAAGGAGGGTCTAGAAGCCCATTAGAATAGCATCATAATTTATTTATTGTGTATATATATAAAAGACATTGCAGCGACTCCCCTTTGCTGTCGTGTTTCAAACCATCAGTGGGAACACCCGTGGCTTTTATGAAACAGACCATACAAACACCATCTCCCGAAGAGTATTCAGGGCTCTGAATAGTGAAGTAGCAGGGCATGGCAACCCCAAGAAGGGAAGCAGTAAAGGCAATGTTGTCTCTTCTGCCTTTTCTGCAATTGCCTTGAGCAACTCAGAGCAGTGACCACTGTGAATTTCACTCCAAAGTTCCCAGCTTCCTCAGCCTAGTGCAGAGGCAGCCCAGATGCCCATCTCGAGGTTATGGAGTAACTGGGATTGTATATAGCGACCAAGTAAGTCAAAAAGCAAGCTCAACAGTGAAAATGTAGTCCTGACTATGAAAAAATGAGTCTTCACAGGTACCACCCAGGTCTGAAGGCCAACCTTTCCTTTTCTATCTCGCGCTCATTTATTTGCATTTTTCCCTTTCATGATTTCCACAGAGCAAAACTTAAGACATAGAGACTTGCAGAAATTTTTCATTAAGGCTGACAAAAATCTTCCTGAGAGGCAGATTTTTCTATTTTATTTATTCTGTTGCTTCTACTCTCCTCTTCCAGCTATAGTACTTTCTCAGCCCTCAGGAGAAGATTGTATAGAAGTGCCTCTGCCACAAGCTGTGCTCTGGTGGGAAGCATCATCTTCAGATGAACTGCTCCAGCCTCACTCAGAACAAAAAAGGTGTATGGGTTGGTAAAGGAGTAGAGAAGTAGAGGAGTAGTAAATGAGTGGACTTTGTAATACCAAGAAGAGCATACATTTATGTTCTAGATCTTTCTTCTTAAGTGAAAAATACTTACATTTAGGGAAATAGATTTAGTGTCTGGACAATGCTTTCCTTTGGTACAACAGACACACAGACCACAGTAAAGATACAAAATTCCTTTCAGTTTCATGACGTTTACATACCTGCAGCAACATTGTGGTAATTCTGGAAATTCTGTCAGTATTTAGGATTAAGGGACAGAGCTGTCTTTTTAGAAACCATTTCTATGTCATACACACAAATTAGCGTGTATTAAATAGTCATCTTTGTGACCACAAGCAGTTGTATAGAATTCATGGGTTTGGGAAGTAAATTGAAAGCAGACAGTGGATGTTAACAATATGGTTAGATGCAGGAGTTTTACGCTAGTCAAACACTAAATAAACAAGTCCATTTTTTAGGTTTATTTAAGAGGACTTCAGGACACAGCCTCAGAATATGTATTTTTAAGGCAGTAGAGATACTGCCTTGTAGATGTGAATTACAGAGTTCTGTGAGTCAGGAGCAGCAAAGTAACTTCGTTTTCCAAATTTGTAAAAAATTGTAATCACATAAATGACAATATAATACTTGCTTCCTCAGCATTCTCCTTTTCACCTTCCTTCAACAGAAAAAACATTTTTTCATTGCTACAGCTACACACCCAATACAGCTAGGAGGAGAGTCAAAGAAATTTAAGATGAGGTACCATCTACACAAATGGATATCTTATTGCTGCACTTTGATTGACAGTTATTTTACTCATTGTGCAAGAGGCAAAAAAGATAAGCAACCCAGAAAAACAGTATTTTTTACGAGAAATTATTTGCAAGGAGAGGTAGTACTAGAAGTTCAATAACTTTATACCTGGTTGTTAAAAAAAACACAGAATTTTTAAAGACATTATTTTTATTTGCACAGTCTAATGTGGTAGACATATTTGCTTTTCATGATAGCCAACTGCAACTACACCAAATCCTTTTCATAATTCATCGTTCCTGATTGCAGTTGGAGGATGGAACTGTGCTAGCTCCTGTGGTCCATATTCCCAAGGACAAGGCTCCAGCTGAAGCTTAATCTAGTCTTTG